CCCCCCAAGAGAATCGCCAGCTGTTCTAGACAGCTGGCTGTTCCCTCTAGGCACAGGTGACCCAGGAGGACACTTTGCACACTCCCCTCACCTTCAGGTCAATCAGGGCCTGGAGGCAGGAGAGCATGCGAAGTCTCTCGCTCCCTGCCCTGCAAAGGGCACGAGGCACTTAGTGAACCACCAGCTGTTCAGCTGGAAGTTCTCTCTATAGGTTGCGTGCTCCTGGCCAGGAGGGGCAGACTTTGCTCACTCCTCCATTCCCAGGCCATTCCTGGGGTGGGCTCTCTTGCCCACCCCTGCTGTCATTCTACCTTCTTGCAGTGTTAAAATATCTGGAGGCACAGAATAGCTCAGAGCGGCAGAAAGTTAATAGCAGAACTAGGGCTAGATCCTGCCTTTCCCAGGCTGGTACCTCATTCTGTGGAGCGGTGTTTCTCAACCAGCGGTACGAGTACCCTTAGGGGTACTCGAGAGAAGTCTGGGGGGTATGTCAACACAACTGAAATTGGGAGAAAACTGAATTTTTATTTATTTTTTATTTTAAGTTTTACAGCATTTTATTATTTTTATACTTTTTACATCCCAAAATTTCATCGCCCGGGTACGATTAAGTTGTTTAAACAAATGTGTTGCAATGGTAGAAACAATTTTGTGTGTCTGAAAACTGTAGGTACTGGGGATACTTATAAATTACTTTTTTTTGAAAAAGGGGTACTCTGTAAAATAGGTTGAGAAACACTGCTGTGGACCACACTCCCCCTGGAAACAGCATGACCAGTATCTTCCTGTGGTGAAATATCTTGGCCCAGCTGAACAAAGGAGGCTGGGGAAGAGAGGAATACCCAGCCTGGTAAATGTTTCATGTCATGAGTGTGTGCACAGGTATTAGGATCATGCAGGTCCTTAAAGCCCATAGTGAACTGGGAACCATTCTATTTGGGGGGAAAATAGAGGCAGTTTTCTTGTATTGAGGTTTAATTTTGTGTGACTACTGTTTTCATGGGAAATGGCAAATATTTTTTGTTCAATGTCTTGAACTTGAAGATGTGGTGGAACCCACTCATTGGGGTGAAATGGCAAGCCTGAGTTCTTAAAAAGAAACTGAGGACAAGGCAGTGAAAGAACATCTGTGCATTATTTTGACATACAGTTTCATGTATGGCCATATCTCAGAAGTATTAATGTGGTGCTAAATGTCTTGCTAGCATAAATTGCCTAACCATGAGGCCACCCTGCTGGTCTTGGTAGCTCTTTCTGAGATCTGGGCTGAGTCTACTGGCTCTGTTGGTGAGAAGTGGTGGTGTTGTATGATGTAGAGAAGAGAGAAAGCAGCCTTCTTTTGGATAGCCTTTCTTAATTTTTTTTTGGTTCCAGTCTTGGTGTGGCATTGGTACTTGATGCATGCTTTTCTTTGGACTATTTCTTGTAGTTATGTTAACTCCAGACTCTTCCAGCTAATCAATCATCAGTTAAATCTGTTCCAGATGTGGTACCCCATAGGCCACCCTAAAGGCAGTCTAACGCAGGCCCATAGTTTATGTATTGAAAGCAAAGGAAGGAGTTGCAGAATTTAAAAAGAGTTGAAAACTATTCACATTATAGACCAGACCCTCATTTACCCCGAGACTCGTTTATACCACTTTCCTAGTGTAAAGGAGCCTTAAAATGAGAATAATTTCACCAGCCGTAAGTGTTTTGCCAGAGTGATTTATACGGGACTTGGTGTACATGAGAATCTGGCCCGAAGTAGTGATGTTATTTAGCCATCCCAGAAATGACACCGTTGTGTTAGTGCAAAAGTGAAATTGCCTAGAAATGGGCGGTGGAACGAACTGGTATATTTCCATGGTCCAAGTTGAGAAAAATGCAAAGAAGAAACAATAGTTTAGATGTTTAGCTCGCTCACCCGTAGGTAGTCAGTCATACAGGTAAGGGGATTTGTAATTTGACAGTGTCCCTTTTAAGAGCTCTGCCACTTTTTTATCAAATGAACTTGTTGGATGCTGTGTTTGGAATTAGCAATGTCAATGTTGTTTTCTGTTTCCTTGCAGCACATGGTTATGAGCTTTAGGGTATCGGAGCTGCAGGTTCTCCTGGGTTTTGCTGGCAGGAACAAGAGTGGAAGGAAGCACGAGTTGCTCACAAAGGCATTACAGCTTCTCAAATCTGGCTGCAGCCCGGCTGTTCAGATGAAAATTAAGGAGCTGTACCGGCGAAGGTTCCCAAGGAAGATTTTAACCCCTTCAGACTTATCCATGCTCCATATTCAGACAGGGCAGCTGCCTTCTGCCACCGCACTGACGCAAGGCAGCACAGTGTGTCATTTGCCTTATGATAACAGTTCAGCAGCTTCTACAGTACCAGCCGCTATGTTGCCTCCGGTGCCTATGCTGGGACCCAAACATGAGACAGATGTTCAGCACTTATCCCCACCCATTCATCCGGTCCATCCAGATGTCAAAATGAAGAGGCTGCCCTTCTATGATGTTTATGATGAGCTGATTAAACCCACCACACTAGGTACGTGAATAAATGAGTTTTCTAAAGTCCACCTATTGTTCTAAAGTTACTGGGTTGACAACCCTTAAAGCTGAAAGCTTCTGGCTATCCACAGACTTGGCATAGCCTGGGGAAAGAGGGCTAGTTTCCCAGGTTGCTTTGCAAGTGCGCATCAGCGTGATTTGGAGGGACTACATCTGTGGGTGAGGAAGGAAGTCCAGTCTCCATGGCTCAGCCAGTCCTGGGCTTCTCTGCTGAGACTGGCTGTCATGTTTTGTGGTAGACACCTGTGAACAAACAATCTTAGATTGTGATTTTTGGCAGGGGGGCAGGAACTATCTTTGCATTTGTTTGTACAGTGCATAGGACAGTGAGGCCTTGCTCCCTGCCTCAGTCCTTTGGCAATAACTATAATTGAAATAACCAATGGACTGATGTCTGCCAACTCATTTTGCATAGCTACTGAAGAGCTGTCAGAAGAAAAAGCCTTTAGTTGTTCTTGTGGTTTTTCTGGATTCAGACTAATGATTTAGTGAAAAGTCTGGTGTCTTCTTACTAATCCCTTCAGCCAACCAGTCTCAGCTCTTAAGTGGATAATGACCAGTATGTGCTCTCCCCCCTTTTGGCTGGCTGTATTAGAGCCAGTTTGGGAACTTTGCTGAGAAGAGACTTGAGTTTCTCTGTAATAGTCTAAATCACCCTCTTCTAGAATTACCATGCAGACTGTGACCTATATTATTTCAGCATTTGGACCATGAAACCGAGAGATGGAATACCTGGTTAATATGGGACGGAGTCTCAGAACAGTAACTTGAGAGCCAGGTTTGCTAACAGTGATGCCTTGCAAAAATGACAAAATAAAACCCAGAAAGTCTCTTATGGAGCTTTTAGAATTAGGGATGTTAGCGATTAATTGAATAGCTGTAATACTGTATCAAATATTATTGATTACATGACTATTCGATAGTCCTCGGGAGTGGGACCGGCAGGTGGTTTAAAAACCAGCTCCCTGCACAGACCGTTTCCCACCTGCTGTTTTGCGCTGCTGCCTCTGTATCAGAAGGGTGTATCCAACACACCCCTCTGATCCTGGAATGTCTGATCTTGGCCCTTCCACTGACTGCCTGGGAGACATTAGATGAGTTACATATTTGCTTCCCATAGTGTCTCCAGTGTGCTAGGCATGCATAAAGAAGATATGGTGTATGTCAGAAAAAAATCACTTCCCCTCTCTCTTATCCCTTTCCCCATTGGTAAACGGCAGGCAGGGATGGCTGTATGTCTTCACTGATATCTGTGCAGTGCTTTGGGATGCTCTGTCTGATGCTCGTTGAAGTCTGTGGAAAAATCCCCATTGACTTCATGGGGTGGGGTCAGGCCTGAGAAGAGCAGAATTTGATTGCCCTTTTTGAACCGGAAGGTTGTGCAAACTGTGCTGTTAACTAAGGCAATCTCCATTATAAAAAAAAAAAAAAAGACATGAACTATCTCCTAGAACTGGAAGGGACCTTGAAAGGTCATCGAGTCCAGTCCCCTGCCTTCACAGCAGGCCCAAGCGACATCCCTCATGAATTTTTGCCCCAAATCCCTAAATGGCCTCCGCAAGGATGGAACTCATAACCCTGGGTTTAGCAGGCCACTGAGCTATCCCTCCCCCTTCTCTTCAGACTGTTCCTACCTGCCTTGCACCATTTGAGTGATTGTAGTTTGGACTCAGGTTGTGGGGGGGGTTCCTCACATCACTGAGTGGTTTACTGCAAGGGAGATGGGTGTGTCTGGCTTTGTTATGCCTGCTCTTGGCACAGTAAGAACGTCTCAACTTGATGAGTGAGGTTTTTTAAAGTATGTTTTCTTGACTTTGGCTCTACTATCCCTCCCAGGCAACCTGTGGTTTCCTTCAATGGGATGCTCATGTTGCAAAAGAACTCATTATTGCTCTGAGCCAAAATAATCCACTCCCCTTCCCGGATAAGCCTTTCTACTCAAATATTGATACTTGTATTCAACTTTCTGTATGACTGAGGTGGGGAGGGTCTCTCACCTTGTACACACCAGATGCTTCTTGTTTCCTTCTATTCCCCCCGCAGGCTACCTGTGTAAATCTCCCATGCTCCTCTGTTTCCTCCTCTGCAGGGACTCTCTGCAACCCCCACCCCCACTGTGATGCCAGGCGCTCTGTGAGTCCTATTGCCCCCTCTGTCACACCTTAGAGTTCATCATTCGTCCCTTCAGGTCAGGGGGTCCCTCCCCAGGTAGGGTCTCCCATTCTCCTCCATGTCCCCTCCCTCACGCCTTCTTCCCACTCTGCAAGCTGGGGCTCTGTGCTCCCTCGTTCCTTCATCATGGCAGAGGCTCGGTGTCTTTCCCATTCCTCCTCTGCCACATGCTGGAGGGTCTGCGTGCCCACATGCCCCCTCTGCATGCCACTGTCCCACATTCTCCCTGGCGCCCTGCATGCCAGGAACTCTCTGTGCCCTCCCCAACCCTCCTGTGCCAGATGTACCCTGAAGCTAGTGAGTGCGAGAGCCAGATGCAGGGGTCTCCATGTTTGTCCCCCATTTCCCTCTCTCTGGTTCTCGCCCAAATCAATAGACTTCTGCCTAGTGGTACCAAGAACATTTTAGTCTATTCTAAAACTTGGGGACTATGGCATTGCAAAGTTATCACATCAGGGCAGAGAATTTCCAGCAAGTCGAATGTAAAACCTCATTTTGATTGGCCAGTTACGAAACATGTAGGGTCATACAATTTCATGGTGCATTGCAAATAGGGATGTTAAATATCAGTTAATCGAATAGTTGATTAACTTCATCAATTCTTATCAGTTAGTCGACTATTCTATAGTCCCTGGGCAGCCTCTGTCTCTTAGTTCCGGCTCTCAGCTATGTAGCTGAGGTGGGCTGCCTGCCTGCCTGGCTCCTAATACACTTCAAATGCAGAGCTGCAGCAGGGGAGGTCCCAGACCCAATGCAAGCCAGGACTGAGCTGGGCTGGTGGCCAACCTGATAAAAAATTTACTGGCAAGGGGGGTGGAGGGGGAATGCATGTAGTCTATAGCATTAACCCATTAGCTTTTGCTTAACAGTTCATCGACTACACTTTTACATTCCTAGTTACAAATGTGAGTTAATACTGATTATTTACACAGTAGCATGGTAGTTCTTGATGCTGTAAACAAATAAGACAATGACTCTGCTCCAAAGTTCTTAAAAAAAATCAGATTTCTGAATTCTGATATCTAGCGAATAAGACTTTCACCCCAAAAATTAGTTGCTGCTTTCTTCTACGCTAAAAACGTTTGCCAAGTTGCGTGTATTATTTTAATAGGGGAGTAACTGCGTTCAGTGGAAACAGCCGAACAACTTCAGCTACGTAGCAAAGAGCACTTTCATAATAAGGCCAGGCAAGGAAGAGTTGTGGAGGTGATTGGTAAGAAGAGAGGAGGGATTGTCTGAAGAAACAGGCTTTCAGGAGGGATTTGAAAGAGGGAAGAGAGAGCACTTGGTGGGTGAAGTCCCTGAAAGCATCAGACAGCGTGATAGGAAAGCATAGAACAGGAAGCAGAGAGAAAGGAGGGATGGTTTTGTGGTTAAGGCATAATTTGAAGAACTGTGTTTTGCTCTAGGGCAAATCACATTGCCTCTCTTTGTGTGTTAGAGATAATATTGACCAGGGCTTAAATTAAGCCGGCGCTGTCCAGAATGGAACTTGGGTAAATATTTTCAACTTCCTTGGAGTTTTTATAGCATGTTGGGGGCTCTGGGAAATACTCTAAGAATGTACGCCCTGATGAAGATCAATGCATACATGTCTGTGCTCAGATACTAAGGCGATGAATGTTCCAGTGACACCTACAAATAATGAATAGATGAGCAGAGAGAGAGGTGGGGTGAAACTAGCTAAGAAGGATGTGAGAAGGGTTTTAGCAAAGGGGCCGTGAGGAAGGGCTGGCTTTTGGCCGTACTGACAGAATTTAGTGAGAGACTGGAGGCAGGTCTTAAGGGTGACACTGGAATTGTCAGAAGCGCTAGTGAGGTGGTGAGTGGTACGAAAAAAGCAGTCGGAATGCAGCTCTTGCCAGGACAATGGCTGTTCAGGCAGTCAGCACTGCTACCCCGAAGACCCAAGTGTGCCTCATACGGCGCAGCAGCACAGGCCTGGAGATCTTGTTGAGATGGGGAATAGGCGCCATGAAGTCAAGGCAGAAGAACTCATTTGTCCATTCCTCTTGCCATTCAAGGTGTCGACTGTGACACCCTTGCGATAACACATGCCTGCAAATTGGTCTGGTGGAGCTGGAGAGCTGCTGTTGCATAACAAAGTTTAGCCCCTCTGTCTTATATGATGGCTGTGAGCTGAGCATGTTGGCTAGAAAAGGCGTGATAGGGAGACGATGGGGCAAAATTCATGGGCCTCAGCCTGAGTCCTGCTAGTACCATGTTCAGCGTTTGTTCTGTTGACTTGAGCTGGAGCAGGGTTGTGATCTTATTTGAGGACTGAGGGAGTGAAAGGCTAAGGTAGGAAATTTTAAGACAAGGTTGGAAACCTCCACAAAGCGTGTATTTGTGTTGGAGTCCGGCACAAGTTCTGGCAGGGCATCTGCTGAGGAACGTATCTGTACGCCAGACCTCACATTCTTCGCATTTTTGACTTCAGGAAGTTAGTGATGAGAAGCAAACCCCTCGCCCCACTGTGGAATTCACACTCACAGTTATCGCGTGGGATTAATTGTATTCTTGGGGAGGCTGGCATGAGAGCGTTTTGGTGGCCAGAGCCCTTTATTGGCACATGTTGCACCACACGACAGACATCTGCCACAATTCAGTACTGCAGTTCGACACCGCTCTCTTCATCTGAAGAAGTGGGTTTTGCCCACAAAGGTCATTAGACTATCTTTGTTTTTTGTTAGTCTCTATGGGTATGTCTACACTACCCCGCTAGTTCGAACTACACGGGGTTCGCACTAGCCGGCTTTTAAAAATGGCGGCACCGGCTTTATGCTAATGAAGCCCGGGATTTGAATTTCCCGGGCTTCATTAGCAAGTTCGGTATGCATACATTACCCCGCTAGTTCGAACTAGCGGGGTAGTGTAGACATACCCTGAGGGTGTGTCTAGACTACAGGGTTTTGTGGACAAAAGTCCACTTTTGTTGACAAAACCATACCTGCGTTTACACTACTGCTGAGTTCTGTCGACATAACGTTGACAGAACTCAGCAGTTTAGTCGATGGCGGTAAACCTCATTCTACGAGGAATAACACCTTTTGACGACAGAGTTCTGTCGACAAAAGACTTTATTGCATCTACACTGGCCTTTGCATCTACACTCTCATATCGACAAAGCGGCTTGCTTGGTCGACAGAACTGTATGTAATCCAGTCGCTCTTCGTCAACAGAGGTTTTGTTGACCGTATCTGTCGACAAAGCCTCTGTTGACAGAACTCTGTAGTCTAGACGTACCCTAAGGTGCTACAGGACCACTCATTGTTTTTTATAGGGTTACCATATTTGAAATTTGAAAAAAGAGGACACCCCAAGAGGGAGTGTGTCTGTATCAGTAGCTACCAACTCATGTTGTGTTATACCCTCAGGGGTGTCCTCTTTTTTTCAAAGTTCAAATATGATAAACCTGTTTACGTTTTTTTTAATTTATGCAGTACTTCTCATCCCTAGTGTGATACCAGAGATCTTTACAAATCTTCTGATATCGGGAGGCCCAATGACGCCACCTCTTGGTTGGAATAAACATAGTCTGGCTTGCAAAGCCCTACCTGGTAGATGTGCATGGCTTAGACTTGTCCTAATCTAAGGGGATGCTGTGCCTCTGGTATGACTCTATTGGAATTGTGGTTGCTCTTGGGATAGGAATAGGCCCTAGAGCAATGTCAGCAGAGCGTGTTGTTTGAAATGCCGACAAGATCTGCTGTCTTGAAAGTTACTTTGGTTTGTTTTTCTGCTCTGGGTTTATTTTAGAAGCATAAAGTTTGTATTATTGGGGAGGGGGGTCTGCTACACTGAAGGCATCTTTTATGAAAGGCAAATTCATCACTAGGGTAGATGAAATGAAAAGATCTTCACTAGCTCAGAAGAGATGCCTCCCCTTGGAGTCAGTAGAATTTAATTCTAAAGAGGATCACATTTATCTGTAAAATTTGCCTCCATGTCAGTAACTGCTGCCTAGAGTATTTGATTGATTCACACTAGGGATATGAACAGGTAATGGGTTAACTGGTTACCTGGCACCAGCCCCCCACCCACGGCCCACTGCAAGTAGAGGGCTGCTCCAGCCTCATGGAGATCAGGAGCCAGAGTTGACCACCCTGTGGTTGGGGCGGCCAGCTCCCCTGCAGAGGACCCACTGAATTGGTTAAAGGTTAACTGAATAACTGGGATTTTACATCCCTAATTGGCACCCTAACTAAGTTTCTCCTTGGGTTTTGTTTCTTGAAGTGCCCAGCTGTTTTTCTATTTTAGGTTTATTCAGGGCCTTGATCGTACCTCCCACCAGGGGAAGATAAGGGCAAGGCCTATTTCTCATTAAGCAAGTTTGTTCTTACTAGAATCATAGTAATGACTGGAAGTGCCATGCACCTTGTCCATTTCTGCTTAGTCAGGAAGTTATGTGGTGAAAATATTACGTCAGGGGACTGGGAGGCCAGGGCACCTGGGTTCTCCTTTCAGCTCTGCCACTGATTGACTATGTAAACTGCTTTGCCTCAGTGCCTCAGTTTCCTCATTTGTAAAATGCCGGTGACGGTACTGTGCTACCTTGCATAAGTGATGCGAGGCTTGGCTGGTGTTTGTGATGTTCTTTGAGAGCTGCTGGCTGGAAGGCATGTTAGAAATACAAGGAGTTAAGAATAATTTGTGAGGTCTGAACTACAGGCCCTGCTTGTGCACAGCTACCATTGAAATCCATGGAGGTTATGATTAGGGATGGCTCTGTATTTGTACCACACTTTATATGCTCTTCCCTGATCCTAGGTCAGTGTAAGCGTGGAAAGGAAGAGAGTGTTTCTTAGAATACCTTGTTGATAGCCAACCATCCTTCCTAGAGCGGAGAGAGCTCAGCCTCGTGTTCATGCTAATGTTTATGTCCTTCTTTTGTCTTCTCCCACAGCATCAACGAACAGCCAGCGGTTTGAAGAGGCGCACTTCACCTTTGCGCTAACGCCTCAGCAAGTTCAACAGATTCTCACCTCTAGGTAAGTGAACAGCTGGCTGTTCAGGATCCATCTGCCTGACGTGCAGTGCATGGGGCGTTTGTGCAGACTTTTCGCTGGGTCACCAGTAGCACTGCCAGGGCAGAGTAGGAAGGAGATGTTTGGGAGAGGTTGTGGCTGAGACTAAGACAGACAAGGAGGTCAGGTGTCATGGGGATGGCAGCTTTTTGTCCCGGAGCACTTGCCCTGCAATAACTGGGAATAAAGTCCCTGGTGAGATCCACAACCAGTATAAATTGCATCGCTGCCTTGAACTCAGTGGTGCTATCCCATTTACAGAAGCTGAGGAGCCGTCATTCTAATGGATTGATTTTTGTGTACGTGTCAGAGTTAATGTAGCAACCGCATCAAAATATATAAAACTGATCTTAGGATTTTCAGATCATATTTCCATTGCTGGTGCTTTAGCTGGCTTGCTTTATCCCTTTTAGCATATGAAACAGCTTCTTCGCCAGCAGGGGAATGGATTGGATGATCTAATAAGTCTCTTCTGATTTATTTACTTCGTCTTCTTCTTTCCTTACCACGTCCATTCCCTCTTTTCCATTCAGTAATATTTTGCTCCATGCCCTTGTTTGTGGGATTTTGGCTCCTAAAGAGAACAGTGACCAAAAGCCAGAAGGCAGCTTTTTATATTTCACAGGCACCTGTTTTACTAGTACCAGAGGTACTATTATTAATATTAATAAGTACATTATTATATGATGGCTAATGAGATGTTTATAAGGATTGTGCCTAGCAAGCAACGCCAGCCATGTAAGAGATCTTATTCTGTTGCAGAGATATCTTACCAGGTGCCAAATGTGACTACACAGTACAGGTGCAATTAAGGTAAGAGAGAGAACATTTGTACATCCTCTTGATCTGAAAAGTGACTGAACAAAACCCTTTCCTTTGAGCTGCTGTTTTGGCTATAACATCATAAGTTTGGCGGATCGGGCCATAGCATTCAGCAGTTTGGATTTGCATATCTGAGAGCTCGAAGAATTCTGAAACTTGAGTTGCTGTACTGAGATGAAAATCTTTGGGCTCAGACACTAAACCCAAGCAGAATCATTGTGTGAATCCAGGAGACTGAGTGCATGCCATTTCTGCTTTTCCACCTTAATATTCCGTGCTGCTATCAGCTCACTACATTGTCCCAGACTGCCATGGGAGTTTTGCCTGATGAAGATCAAATCCTGCTGTTTATAACCGCTTTCACGCAGCTAGACTTGATCCGCTCATTTTTCTGATTTCCTTTTTAAACACTTGAATTTTTTTTCTTGCTCTTAAAGGTGCAGCAGGAAGCCAAACATAGCTTATCTCAAAACTTGCAATATTCCATTCACACATCCTGCGTACTATTTCCAAGTGCCTATTATTGTAAGGAATAAATATCCAAAAGTGCTTCACAAGCTGTGTCTTCACCCAGCTCTAGGGTGTTGACCCTGTATTAACAAGCCTATGAGCCATGTCCCTCTGAGAGGTTCTTCAGGGTGTGTCTAGACTACAGGGTTTTGTCGACAAAAGTGGACTTTTGTCGACAAAACTAAACCTGCGTCTACACTACCGCTGAGTTCTGTCGACATAACGTCGACAGAACTCAGCAGTTTTGTCGACGTTGGTAAACCTCATTTTACAAGAAATAACGCCTTCTGTTGACAGAGTTCTGTTGACAGAAGGCGTTAATGCATCTAAACTGTCCTTTGCGTCTACACTACCATGTCGACAAAGCATCTTGCTTTGTCGACGGAACTGGATGTAGTGTAGACGCTCTTTGTCGACAGAAGCTTTGTCGACAGTATCTGTCGACAAAAGCCTGTAGTCTAGACGTACCCTCAGTCTCCTTTTTCCTGCTCTGTTTGGTCCATTCTTGTGTATGAACAGTATGGTGAAACATACGGGCATCTTGCTCCTTGAAATGGGTTAGAGGGAGAGACTCTTGTAAGTTTCACCTGTATAACCAGGACAATCATTGTATGTTGGTGGATAGAAACCTCACATGCCCTTAACTCATCAGAGCTGGATGTTAGGGTTTTTTTTGTTTTTGTTTTGCTTACTAGCCTCAACCAGCACCCCTCTTCATATTTTTCTGGAGGTTCAATATCATTCATTAGCGTTGAGAAAGAAGCCTTTGCATAACTTCAGTGGTGTTTGAATGCTTCCCTTTTGCCACAGAGAGAACTATCGTCTCTAGCTGGCGAACTTAAATGTGGGAATTAGAAACAAGAATTGTGTCAAGCAGCCCCATCTGGCTCCAACTGTCTGAGACATACCCCTGCATGAAAACTTCCCATGTCTCAGTGCAAGAGAGAGAGAAGGCTAGCCTTTATTTTATCCTTCTCTTTGGCTGGCCTGCAGTGACTGCAGTGGGAGAGGTAAAAAAAACAATAGGCACAGATTCTGGCATGGTGGTGGTGAGGATCTGCATCCGTGTGACATGCCAGGGCTTGTGCTAACATAAAGCAGACCTAAGTCATATTTGACTCAAGGCGGTGAGGCACGACTCGGATTTCAGTGTGGGGTGTGGTCTCTCTCTGGCAGTGCGGTTTAATTTGAAACACATGATCATCTGATTCAGTGGGATTAGAATTTGAATGAGATCCCATTCTGAGTCTCTGGTGCTGACATCTTTATGCCTGTTGAAGACAATTGTAAGATATTAAATGGCGGCAGATGAGCACTGAAACAATGTAAGGGCTGGTCTACACTGGGAACTTACATCAGCATATGTCTCTCTCGACAGTGTGAAAAATCCACACCCCTGAGAGTTAATAGTTTTGCTGACCTAACCTCCAATTTAGTCGTGGATTTCTAGATCAGTGGAAGACTTTTGTCAACTTAGCCACCTCTTCTCTGGAAGGTGGATTACTCATACTGACAGGAGAGCCCCTCCTACTGGTGTAGATCATGTCTACACGGAAGCACTACAGTGGCGTCTATACCCCCCTAAGTAGTAACTAATCTCTCCTTCTGCTGCAAGATTTACATTCAGATCAATGTAATTCCATTTCAGTTCCTCAGGGAGTTATCAGTTATTTTTAAATGACTACATTTCTTGAAGCTCCTTTCACCCAGAAGTACTGTGTAATTTATAGCTGCTGCATCATTGAAGAGTGCTCCTTTGTGGGATGGAGGGCAGCAGCCATATGGTAATTAGTATGCTTCTAATTAGTATGCTTCATGACAGCTGGTTGTGTGGGAATTTTATCTGGGGGAACAGGGCAAATTCAACTTTCACTCTTACTAAAGTAGTGGACGGCCATCCGTTTTTAAGGCCTCATCCAAAATATCCCCACATGGGAAACTGAATCAAGCTCAGTTTATCTGCCATGCAAAGCTGGCAAGCTTGAGACAGCATGGCTTGACTTTGAACTTGTGGTTCTGGAGAGTTTTTTTTCTGATCAGGTTGGTGATTGCCCCCACCTTGGACATGCATAGTGCACGCTAGTGTAAAGCTGACCGACCTGGGTCATCAGCAGGTGGGATTGAACTTGGGACCTTAGGAGCCAAAAGCCATGAGCCTCTATGGCATGAGCTAAAAGCCAGCTGGCCCTTAGCTAGGCCTGTGGAGCAGACTTCACTTTCCTTCCTCCGTGGTCGCAGTGCCTCTGGGTTACACTAGTGATTGCATATTTGGTGTTCCAGATGTGCCTCTGGGTTACACTAGTGATTGCACCAGTCGATTTTCTGTGTATATTTGTTGTGCCCATGACTTTTGTGCCCTCACATGTGTTCCAGACGTTGGTACGTTTGGCTCGAAAAATGTCTCTACAAAGACAAGCTTCAGTTGCCATTGTGTGTGACTGTCACCGCCACTCATTTGCCAGTTTCTTCCTCCTGCTTCTTAGGTTTTGCTTGTGTGAAACCAGCTGTCCCCAAGAAGATTATTTCCCTCCTAACTTATTCGTCAAGGTCAATGGAAAACTCTGCCCTCTGCCTGTGAGTAAACCTTGTTTCTTGATTATATATAGTGGACCAAATTCCGCTGTCAAGTATGCAACCACAATTTCTGTTAAGCTTTGTGGGAGTTATGCATAGAAGAGACTCAAAGTTGGCTCTAAGAACTGAATGGTGCCATTAGAATATCATCCTGATCTTATGCTACATGCTGGCAAACTGGTTTGGAAGGAGTGATTTACCCAAACCTTTACCTATTCCTCTATTGAACTCTAAGGTACCGGGTTATAACTTGTGAAGGGAGAAGAGCCCAGACTAGCATAAGAGAAGCTGACCCTGCAATATTTCGAACAGACTCAAAATGAGAATTAATAGAAATCTCACTTGAGATCCTGTACTGCTTGTGAGATTTCTGGCCTGGTTCAGTAGATCCATGTGCATACGATTAACTCCGGGGTCAAGATTTTCAGCGGAGGGGAGTGGGCTCCCATCTTCAGGTACCTTGCGTGGGTCTGATTTCAGAAAGCGCAGAGCCTCTTGTTTTCTGGAAATCAGGCTGCTGTAAGAAGTATCAGGTTTCTCCCATAGAACCTTTGGATGTTTTTCTGAGCTGAGCCTAAGGTTAGTCGGTCATCACCTTAATATCCCAGTTTGTTGACCTCCTTTAGAATTATGGTTTGGAAGTGGCCTCTCCATAATTTAGGTTGAGTTCTTATATTCTGGGTTGGGGAAAATCGTTTGGCCTGGAAGTTGCCAGATTCTCCCTGCTGCAGTGCTGAATGTTCAGGGTTGAAACCCCTCATGAAGATGCAGACTAGGAGGGTTGTTACAGTTACTGGTAATGGAATTTGATTTTATTTTTTCCTCTTTTAAAACAAAAAGGCCCAAAAGCTAGGACATCGCACACAAAGCTCTGTTAAAAGATGATTATTTGGGTTTCAAAATAAAGCATTTGAAAGGAATGAAATGCTGCCTTGACAGTCGCCTGCACAACCTGAGTTATATCCCATACATGATTGGCACTATGGTGGTGGTTTTACTTGTCCCTCTAATGCTCTGTTCCCAAGCCCGCTCGTGTCCTGATGAGAGGTAGAGACCTAGAAAGAGCAATTTTTTCTGCATGTTTTAAGGCTTTCAATGCTTAACAAATTGGTACTGAGACAAGTAACCCATGGATCTTCCTGAGGCAGACATTGACTGGGAAACATTGCCACAGGCTTTTTGAAGACCCTGTCTTAGAACACAATGAAACACGGGGATAGTGTGTGTAGTCCGAATTGCACCCTCAGCTTCCTCTGCCAAAACAAGAAATCCCTCTCTTTTGTCCAAAACAAATAACCTTGAAGAAAGCTGCAACCAGAACTGTTTGCTTAAAAGCAAAGACTTTGTGCACGTCGGTATTGGGGGAGGGCTTGGAGTTGGTTGGGAAATGAAAACAGATCCTTGAATATGAAACTGGCTCCGTTTCCATGTTGAATTAACTGTGGTTAAAATTCCATTGTATTCCCTGCCGGGCTTTGATTGCTCAGATGTTGTGCTGGAGACACGGGAGGGAAATTTCAGGGGAAAGCCAGCTATAGCAGAGTAGGATTTGCAGGGTGTTGCACCGTAAGAGAACTTGGTTGATCTCCGTTTTCTTGCCTTTGCAGGGTTATCTGCCTCCCACTAAAAATGGCGTGGAGCCAAAACGACCGAGCCGCCCGATCAACATCACTCCTTTGGTGCGGCTTTCGGCCACTGTTCCCAATACGATCATCGTGAACTGGTCCTCCGAGTTTGGCAGGGTAAGTGACATGGAGAACCGCAGGCCCAGAGCATTAATAAGTGAAGTTTTTCTGGGCAAGCTGGAGAACCGCAGGCCCAGAGCATTAATAAGTGAAGGAGTTTTTCTGGGCAAGTAGATACTGTAATGAACTAGTCTCGTAGGTTTTCATAACGCATTGTGCAGCACTCCATTGCAACTCTGAACTGCATGGTGAGAATGCTGGTCCTCCGGGTCCGAAAGCATGGACTTCTACGACTTGAACTAAGAGAGAATCTCCATTAGCTATTAGCAGAAGAAGGCTTATGACACACACGAGCAATTCTGATTAAGTCCAATAGAGAGTAGTGAAGTGGCACTATGACAAGTGCGGTGATTTTGATAATATTTGTGTTATTCCCATGAGTGCCTCAGTTTCCCTTGGGCTTTGCATTGCTACCCACAGACAGGAAAGGGAAGGGATGAGCTGCCTGACTTCTGCAGCAGCCTGGTTGGAAACTAGTATCACTGACAAATGGAGTCAAGTCTACGCATGTGAACAAAGGCTCCGAAAAAACAGTGGAAACCCCAAAGGCCAGGACAGCCTCATCTCACAACCACAGCTGAGAAGAAGGCGATTTCCCTTCACTGCTCTGCAGGGACGCAGAGCAAAGGTCCTGAGCTGGGGAACACAGTGGAAGGGTGTCAGGTGGGGTAAGAGCAGAGACAGGCTCTCACTTATCGTGCAGCTAGGTCGATCTAATTTTTACGTATCAGCCCAAGCCTCAGACAGAGAGAGAGTCGGGATGGGTTCTACGGGAGTCAGGCGGTGAAGTCCTGGCATCGGCCATTCTGAGCTCTTGCTTCTCAGCTCATCTCAGGACTTTGTTTCTACAATTAAGACCCATAAATCGATTGCTGAGGGCAGCTCTGGCTGGTGCTGGTACTCCTGGCAGTCATGAGGAGTAAGGGAAGCCAATGGGAGTGTTTGCTCCCATTGGCCTCCCTCTGTGAAGACAGTGCCAGGTTTGGCGTAAGGTAACCAACTGCAGCTGTGTATTTTATGTAGCTGGAGTTGCATCCCTTAACCCAACCTTCATGGTCTAGTGTAGATCTGGCCTAATCTACCGTTACCTTGTTTCGGAAAAGCAGCTTGGTGGCACTGCAGTAACTTACTGACAGCATGACACCCTGAAGGAGTAGCACAAGTCTGGACTGGCTGCAGGGAGCCCCAGAGAGCTGCAGGGAATGCGGGCACTCAGAGACCCAGTTTTGGAGTTGTGGAAGCCATGGGCCTACCCCTGTGGAATTGTGGATCCTTGGGGTCTGGCAGGCCAAAGCAGGTCACGCCCAAGAGGCCACTGAGGCACATAGCCAAGGGGACTGGACAGATGCTGGGAGCCATGAAGCATTTGGGAGAGCCTGATAGTGTATGTTCTAATACCTGAAGGTGGGAGCCATGAAGCATTTGGGAGAGCCTGATAGTGTATGTTCGAGCTAATACCTGAAGCCCATGAGAAAAGGTTACGGGGGAGGGACAGACCTACAGGTTGGCAAACGTTAGACAAATAGACAAATGTTCCCACAGTGAGAAAAGGGGGCCAGTGTTCCTCCTCTGGAATCTCTGTTTGACTTGATGAGTGTAGAGCAATGGTGTGAAATGTCTCCTGGAGCTGAGTGTGATTCATGGTTTGAACCCCTAGAATCCATGTAGCGCAGGCCAAATGGCAGATCAGCTTGCAGACAATAGATCCAGCTATCAGAGGGACCCAAAGGGGAGTGGCCGAAGCATTGGTCCCTATGAGGAAGCTTCCCAAAAGTTGGATTTGGGTAAACCCAAATTGGGGGACGGGCAGCTGATCTCTTCCCAAAAGTTGGATTTGGGTAAACCCAAATTGGGGGAAGGGCAGCTGATCCCAGTAGATCCCTGCCAAGAGACCCCAAAGACATGAGGTGCAGCTCCTGAAAAGAAGGCAGGCCTCCCCCTGTAGGGCTAGTGAGGGAGCACACAAGAATTTTTCATTGAGAAGGCCAGTATTCGTGTGGGTTGTACAGACATTCAGGGAGGTTGTAGATAGGTACAGAGTGTCACTAGCAATTGTTAAAGGTCCCTTTTTACAGCACTGCAGAGTTACACCAGACTTACAAACAGGGACAGATCTGCTTTCCTAGCAGTCTGCTTTGGAGGCCAGAAGGTCTAACGTCAACCTTTCTGTCCACAGAACTACTCCCTGTCAGTTTACCTGGTGAAACAGCTGACTTCAGTCACACTGCTACAGAAGCTGAGAGCCAAGGGCATTCGGAACCCGGACCATTCCCGGGCCCTGAGTGAGTAGTTGCTGCTTTATGGTTTTTAACTGTTTATTACATGATTTCTAGCTGAATAGCTCTGAATCTGGCTATCGCTAACAAGGCAAGCACAGGTCCCTGTAAGTGTTTATGTAAACACATGCGTAATGTTCTGTGGGCAAGCAGTCCAGTTTTTAAGAAAAGCCTGGTGTATGTGTACAGTCTGAAAGGAAGATGCCTGAGTGGAGTGGAGGGAAGGGGGTTACATTGGCTGGCTGCTAGGAACGTGGTTGGAGGCGCTCCCTGCGCCTTTCAATCTGTCTTTAAAACCCATCTGTGCTGTGATATCTGCCCAAGGCTTTCTGGTGTGCTGTGATAGCTGCTTACCCCACTAATCATATGCTGACTCGCTGGTAGCGTGTGTTCCTTTTGCCTGTTCTTTCCACCTGTTGTTTCCTCTTAACAGTAGCATGTATGCTCTTTTTTGTTATGCCCAACAGAGCCCTGCCTTGGGCTCCAGGGCTTTGTTATGCCCAACAGAGCCCTGCCTTGAGCTCCAGGGCTGCAACAGGCAACCGAAGCTAGTGAGTGGGCTGCATGAGTGGCCTCCTCCATCACAATGGGCCGCAAGATTGTAACCAAGACGGTCTCCCGGCATAGGGTGATTTGCTAACAGCACTTGTGTACCTAAAATGTGCAGGGTGAGACGATTGAAGTGTAGCAGCACTTTGATTGGATGCAGGAACAGCACCTAGCTCTCACAGTCAGCGTTGTGTGGAATCAGCATGAACCTCACTTCGTGGGCCTGGGCTTTCTGTGCATGTCACTTTGATATTGGTAGGAAAAAACATACCCAAATTGGAGCCACCGGCGGCTGGCAGCTCTGCGTGTGGGTGGTGGTAAACAATGTCTTGTGGGCCACACATAGAACCCCACTGGGCCACATGGAGGCTACAGGTTGCTCACCACTGCAGTAGGGTCTAATGTAATAGAAATAATGTGTTTGCTACCATAACAACTTCCTAGGGAGGTACCATGGCACTATAAGATTAGAAGAGCGAGACTCTTTAAAATATCACTAACGCTTTCGACAGACCTAAATCTGTGTTTTTTTTCCTTTCAGTCAAAGAAAAATTAACAGCTGATCCCGACAGCGAGATAGCGACAACAAGCTTGCGGGTTTCTCTCATGTGTCCGGTAGGTTCTCTACGAGTTCTCTGTGCTTCAACATCCACCTGGGGTTTGCCTAAAAACATAGTGCGGTAGCACCAAAACGATTGCTGCTGATCCGGTTTTATAAAAAGTTCTCCTCCTAGGAGTCTTTATTCAACCAGCTCCTTTTTGCATATGTAAATGTTGGCTGAAAACGCTGATCGGAACTTTTCAGCATATACATCTGTGTGTGTCGTATTGTCTGGGGATAGCCTAAACTGTATGATACTGCTGAGGGCTGTGTAAAGTTTTCCCCTTTCACCCATTAGGATGTATGTGTGCAGAAGGAGGTTCCTCTTCTTGTCCATGGTGAAACCATCAACGCTACAGTTCATATCCCTGCTGGCATAAGTTTGGCTCTTTGGGCACGTTCAGTGAAACAGCCAGAAAAGAAATGTGGAAGCATGTTGTATCAAACCATGTTAATTTCTCCTTTCTCCATCTTCCAGCTGGGTAAGATGAGGCTAATAGTGCCCTGCCGAGCCATAACGTGCACCCACCTCCAGTGCTTTGATGCAGCACTCTATCTTCAGATGAATGAGAAGAAACCTACGTGGACCTGCCCTGTGTGTGATAAGAAAGCCCCTTATGAGAGCCTGATCATTGATGGGTAAGCCAAGTATTTTTAGGCCAATCCCTTAATGTTGGTGTTAGGGATGTAAGGGTATGTCTACACTTGCACCCTAGTTCGAACTAGGGATTCAAATGCAAGCATTCGAAATTGCTAATGAAGCGGGGATTTAAATATCCCGCTCTTCATTAGCATGATCTCGCCAGTGCATTAGTTTGAACCAAACCCCTTGGTTCGAACTAACGTTACTCCTCATTTTTCAAACTAACGTTACTCCTCAAAAAATGAGGAGGAACGTTAGTTCGAACCAAGAGGTTTGGTTCGAACTAATGCGTCCCGTCGCGCACTTCCTGGTTCGAATCAGCTGCGATTCAAACTAGCACGCCGGTGAGATCATGCTAATGAAGCCCGGGATATTTAAATCCCCGCTTCATTAGCGATTTCGAATGCCTGCGTTTGCATCCCTAGTTCGAACTAGGGTACAAGTGTAGATGTACCCTGAGTGACTAATCGACTAGTTGCTACTCTATCAGAGGCAGCAATGGAAGAGAGCAGGAGCCAGTGCTGCGGGGAGTTGGCTTAAAGCCAGTTCCCCCCAGCTCTGTGTCCGCAGGGGAGTAGCAGGGACCAGGTGCAAGCCGGGAATCAGCTGATTCCCCACTCGCACCTAGTCCTAGACGCATCTCTGTTTTATAAATGTATTAAGAGCTGACAACAGGGGACCCTGCATGAGCCGGGAACCAGCTGTCCCGGTTTGCGCTGAGTCCCTCCTGCTGCGCTTCAGTCTTTTCAGTGTATTAAGAGCCGACAGGTCAATTAGTTGATTAAACTAAATTTAACATCCGTAGTTGGTGTGTACATACGGTAGGGATGTCAAAGTGTAGACGACTACATGATTAACCGATAGGCAGCGGTGAGGGGGGCAGGTGGGAATCAGTACACACAGGGAGCTGGCTCAGTGAGCTTAACTTAGGCTACATCTAGACTGTAAGCTCTTTCGAAAGAGGCTTTTTCAAAAGATACTTTCGAAAAAGCCTCTTTCAAAAAAGAGCATCTAGACTACAACCAGTACTTTCGAAAAAGCAAGCAATTTTTTTCTGAAAGAGAGCACAGTTTGCATTATATAGTGCCTTTTTTCGAAAGCGCTCTTTTGAAAAAGGCGTTATTTTTCATAAAACGAGGTTTCCTGCGGTTGAAAAAACTACTGCATTCTTTCGATTCACTTTTGAAAGAACGTGGCAGCAGTCTAGACGCAGGGGAAGTTTTTTCAAAAAAAAGGCCACATTCTTCAGAAAAACCCTGTAGTCTAGACACACCTATACGGAGGCAGCAGGGTGGGGAAGAGTCAAGGCAGGAGCCGGTGCTGAGGGGAGCCGGCTTAAAAGCTGGTTCCCCCCAGCACCAGCTCTGCGGGGCCACCTGTTGTCCATGCCTGCCCTCTCCCCTCCCACGCCACTGCCTCTTTCTGTGGCAGCAGCATGGTGGGAGGCTGCTGCAAAGGAGTCTCTGTCCGTGGCAGGCCCAGGTTCACCGTGGACAGAGGCTGCTCCATAGCAGCAGCCCCTGTCTGAGGAGCTCCGAGCTCCCCGCGGACAGAGACTACTCCGGAGCAGCCTCTGTCCACAGCGAGCTGAGACCCCCAATGGACAGAGGCTACTGACGCCCCATGCTGCTGCCTTTTTATTGGAGGCAGCAGCTCAGGGTGACAAGGGGCTCCCCAGGCGTGGGGCTGGGATCGCACTGGCTGCTAAACCCGCCCCTGGGGACTGTCGAATAGTCGCGTAACCGTTACATTTTGACTATTCAGTACACACTAGCCAACATCCCTAACAAACAGTCCCTGCCTGGAACAACCTTGTCTAACGCTCCCACTCATTCCATGTAGACTAGCCTGACTCTTGGCCTTAGCTGGATTTGAACCTGGGACCCACAATGCTGGCACATGAGAAATTAAATTCAAACTTTCCCGGGGCTTTACCTATTCACCTGGAGAGCAGTAGAGGTGCAAGTCCTGGTCAGAATGGGGTATTGTGGGATGCCTTCCGGAGGACAAGAACTAAAACTTGTGTCAACGCTGTGTCTACACTACTGTAAATTTGCCCAGGCGAGGTCAGGAATTGCATTGCTCTTTGTGAAATCAGGAGCACCCGACATCGACTTCAGCAGCCCTTAAGGTCGACGAGACAGGCCTGGTAGTGTGGGGACACAGTTCAGAAAATCGACCTGATGTAGCTAAATTTGGTGTAAACTCCATCCAGTCCCGTTCTGTCTGTATCATCAATACCCAAGTGTTCAGGGCCACGCGTGCTCCTGCAGAGGGTCGGGTCTTTCCATTGATGGCTTTTTTCAGCTGACGCTCTTGCTAATTTACTGGACAGGTTGTTCATGGAAATCCTCAACTCCTGTACAGACTGCGATGAGATCCAGTTCATGGAAGATGGCTCCTGGTGTCCCATGAAGCCCAAGAAAGAAAACCAGGAGGTGTGCCCGACATCTACGTACAATGGGATTGAGGGTACGGGAGCTACGGGTACCATCTCTTTCAAATGTCTTGCTTTTCCATAGCCCCTTTCTCTGGAAGGGTCCGAAAGCATTTCAGAGATTTGAAATGCAGTCAGTCCAGTGGACTCACTGCAGCACTGACGTGCAGCCACCTCCGGCGAGAAGCACGGCAGAGGTTTAACAAGGTGCAGCAGTGCTACGGGCCAGCTGACAAGGGAAAGGAAGACCCATCCAGTTGAAACTAGGGATGTAGAAAGTCTGTTAGAAATGTAACGCTCACCGCTAAAAATCCGAGCGGTTCCACGCGCTGCAGGCTCTGCAATATGATTATGCCACTCCTGGGGAGCCAGGCCTGGCCAGCCGGCTGGAGCAGCCCCTGCCTCCGAGCTGGAGCGCCCCTACCTGGGCAGTGGGGAGCTGCTCCAGCCCCTACTAGTTAACTGGTACCTGTAGGGTGAGGCTTACCAGTTACAGCCCTTGTTGAAACTGCAGAGAGTCATTCTAGGTAGGCCGAATGCAAGTATTACAGCAGGACGTTAGCTAGGACGCCCGTGTAAAGACCTGGCTGTCACACGGGGGGACGATGTTTTCGTTATGAGGCTTAGTTAATATTTGCAAAATGGTTTGAGAGCCTCGGCTGGAAGATGCTGTCGAAGTTGCAAAGCGCTGCCCTGTGAAGAAGCTGCTTCCGCTGCCGTGGCCAACTGCAGTTCCTTGCTTCCCCTCTCTCTGCAGCCAGCTCCCTTTATGCGGTGGGCGCCGACGGAAAGCACTCCTCGGAGAGCAGAAAGAAAGTGGAGGTGATCGACCTCACGCTGGACAGCTCATCAGACGAAGAGGAGCCTCCTATGAAGAAACAGTGCCCCGTCTCCACTGTGGCTATCCCGTCAGCAGTAGGGCCTAAGGGGTAGGGCACCTCTTACCAACCCTCTCTGGGGTTTTTTTCTTTCCTGCATGCTGCAGATGTCACGCTAGCAAGGAGAGGCAGCTTGTGCTGTTGATAGGAAATGTATCGGGCCAGGTCAGTGGTCTGTGTAGTCCTGTGTGCTGTCTATTCAGGGTGCTTGGGAAAGGCAAACTCTGCACCTCATAGGAATGCACCTTGTCGGTTGTAAGGTACCTTCGTATGAAGTGGTGGGAGGCGCATCTCGGCTTGTCCCGGGTCGCGACCAGCTCGTTCCCTGAAGCCTGCGGATCAGTAGCTTCCGTCACTTCCTTAGACGTTCTCATTCCTGGATCTCGTTTCTTAATTCAGAGAGTGCGGCCTTTCACTAACTCGGGTAGCCCTGGGTTCTTCACATGAGATGTGTTCCATGTGTCTGGGCGCACAGAAGGGCTGGAACTGTCTTAAGCTAGGTGCTGTCCACTTGCCTTGTAAGAGCTGACAATCTAACAGCCAGACAGCTGGCAAAAAGTGCTTTGCCAGAAGATGAACTTGGAAAGCCTTGCGGGTGATGTATTCTTCGGGAACAAATTTTCAGAACCCGTTTCATCAGTAACACGCAGCCTCTTTTCCCCCGCCCCCACTACTGTCTCTGAATCAGAGGTAGCAGTGTGGGGGGGCAGGCAGCTGGCTTCCCGCAAACATGAGCTCCCAGGAAGCTGACTGCCTCCCCCCACCCTGCATGCTGCTACCTCTGATACAGAGGCAGCAACGCAGGGCGGGAACGAGGCAGCTGGGAGCCGGTGCTCATGGGGAACTGGCTTAAAAGCCCGGCTCCCTGCATGCACCGGCTCCCAGGGAGCTGCCCTCCCCCGTGTGTAAACGTGTCACTGCTGAGTTTTTCAGCAGTTACATGTTTACCTAAATAAATGCGCTTTAACATCCCTAGTTGATCCAGGCTCCAAGACTTGCTGTTGCGGTGGTGGTTTTATTTTTGCGGTGTAGCCGTACGCGTCATGTCTCTGGCCCAGGTCCACAAAGGCACTGAAATGTGTTTGTAGAACTGGACTGATTGAAGAGACCTGGAATATATAGCATGTGCATGACAACGTCGACGGTTCATTTGCTGATTTGTCTGTGGACAGAAACGCAGGCGTGTGTATCAACTTTGCGCATGTCATTTCCATGTAGAGCAGGTCAGACCATGCTTTCCCCTTGCCTGTCTGTTTTCTGAATGTGAGATGCCGTTTAAGAAAAAAAATACTAATTTGGGCATTGTCCTTTCTCCGTGGCAGTGGGGAATAGAGTCGGTTTCCAGTGTCCTATCTCCAGGCAGGGAGCCTGCAATTTGTAACTTACAACTCCTTGGAAATGGGGGAAAAATCCTTTCTTCCCCTTGTAGAAGTATTTCCCAACTTCAGAAAGCTGAGACTGCCACTGTGACCCCACCGTAACCTGGGACCCTGACAGATGTCTAACTAACCTGCTCTTAAATATCTTCAGTGATGGAGATTCCACAACCTCCCTGGGCAATTTATTCCAGTGTTTAACTACCCTGACAAGAAGTTTTTCCTAATGTCCAACCTCAACCTCCCTTGCTGCAATTTAAGCCCATTGCTTCTTGTCCTAACCTCAGAGGCCAAGGAGAACAATTTGTCGTCCTCCTCCTTGTGACACCCTTTTAGATGAAGGAGCCTCAGCCTTGTCACTTAGGGTACGTCTACACTGGTATAAATCAATATCATACACCCAGCGGTGAGTCTTGGAGCTCAGGTTCACTGACTGGGTGGTGCTATGGGGCTACACGTAGCTGTGTAGCCGCTCCTGCTCGGGCTGGAGCCTGGGCTCGGAGGGCCGATCTACACCAGGGTTGAAAGTTGATCTAAGCTACGCAGTTTGAGTTACGTAAGTCACATAACTCCAGTCAGCGTGGCTTAGAGCTATTGACTGCAGTCTGCCCCGTGCGGAGTCGTCAGGAGAAACTCTTCCATCCACTCCTCTTACTCTTCTTCTGTTGGAGTCCCAGCATTGACAGGAGCAATCGGCGGGCGATTTAGCATGTCTTCACTAGACCTACTAAATCGACCCCCGGTAGATCAATCGCCACAGTGTGGTTCCACTGGGTGGTAGACACAGCCCAGACACCTACACCCCTCCATGTCAGAACCCAGAGCTCACCTGAAGAGAGACATCTGCACTGCTTTGCAAGAACCCCTCGAGTCTGAGTCCGTTCACTTAGGCTCCAAGACTTGCGGTGGTGGTGCTGATTTTTGCAGTGTAGACATACCTTTAGTCTCCCTGGCCCAGGCCCACAAAGATATTGGAATCGGAGGAAGCTAGGAGTTTAAATCCCTTTGTGGTTCTGGGGCTCAGTTTCCCCATTCTTCACACAGGGAGCCGGTCTCCGAGCTTTGCTGATAACAAGCACTGGCAAAGAACAGGCTGGTGGCACAGGGAGGATAAACATTAAAGATGTTGAAGCACTCAGGGACGGCCATAATGGGGCTCTAGAAGTACCTTGGATCCAATTCAGAGATTTTAGTAGTGTCTTTTAAAGGGGTGACCTTGCATTCTTTCTCTTACTACTAATAGCATCTCGCGCTTTCCATTTGTAGGCGTCAGAGCAAACTTTACAGTAGAGGTCTGTAGCACTCTCCCCGTTTTATAGATGGGGAAACTGAGGCACACGCTGGGGCAGTGATTTGGCCAAAGATCACCCAACAGGCCAGAGGCAGCACCAGGAATAAAACCCAGGTCTCTCAGTCCTGTGCTCTGTGCACTGCCTGGCGCTACCTCCCCATGTGCACAATCTGAGGGCTGGGGTTAGGACAGCTGATAATGGCTGTAGGAACTTGCAGTGAACAACGCACCACTGATACGTGCCGAGTCCTGAAGTGAGGCCTAATGGGGCTGGCCGTTCAGGACAGATGTTGACATGTCTTATTTCCCATGTCGCTCAGGGCTTCTTCCTGTCGTTTCGCTATCCCTGACTTAACAGGCAGGCTGCTGATGTTTCACACCTGGATTACAGGCCTCTGCTCTGCCTCACTGGGCTTCTGTCCCATTTCAGGGTATTAAATGTTGATCACCAGCCATCCTCTGTGCTTCGAAGTCCTCCCATGGCAGCTCTCGGCAGTGACTATCTCTCCAGCCTCCCAGTCCCCGAATACCACCCTTCCTACCAGGTGCCGTCGGATATTCAAGGTAAGGAGAGCAGCGGTTTCCAAATCGCCTACTCGGGCAACTGTACCAGTTTACCAGACCAAGACTTCAGCGTAGCACCCGTGCCCATGTCCTCCCGATCTGTTACGTATGATCTGACCCACAAAGCGACTTGGGCTGCACTTGCATGGCTTGGAGCAGCCTCCAGACCGTTGCAGAGCAGAGCACGTATGCTTGAATGGCAGAGTTCCCTTAGGCAGGAGGAGCCAAAGTACCAGTCCTGGCGTGTGATTCTGCAGACCTGTGGGTGAGCTCCTCAGCGAGGCAGGATAAACTGAAAGCCAGTTATTAGTCCCCGGATGGATAAGACCTAGCCACTGGCTGGCCTGGCGTCTGGTGCTTTTCATGGCCATAGACTGGCATTTCTGGTCTTGCTCCTGTAGCTGGCATAGTGGGAAATGGAGGCAGCAAGCTCCAACTGGGAGGAGTAGAGAGACTTGTGTCATCCAGTTGCAGCCTCCTCAGGCCCGATCTAAGAATGGGTCACTGATCTAGGAAAGTTTCCTGCCATCCGAGTATCTCCCAAGTGGCTCTCAAAAATCTCTCCACGCCCCCATTGAAATCCCAAGTGGTACAGATGGGGACAGAGAGAAAGTGACTTGCCCTCCGGTCACTCAGCAAGTCAGCGGCAGAGACAGTGCCACGTGTAGACCACGGAACGTACTCCCCTCGCCCTCCACGCTGGCTTGTTGAACACTTGAGCGGTAACCGGCTGATGCAATTAGACATGATGAGGCGGGCTAGGAAGCTTTGATAAAATAGCTGGTTTCTAGCTATCTGGCATTATCACTCAGAGCCTGGGTGTCCGTTTCGGGTGGTACAAAATGTCTCGTCTGCCTGGTTCAGAGGAGGGTTTTGAACCCACGTCTCCTCCCTCTTGCATGGGGCCATACTCACCGGCCTCGAGACTCTCTTTGGCCCGAGGGATATTGGGTTATACAAAGTGGAACAGCGGCACTGAGAGCAGCCCACCCCAGCGCAACCTGTAGCTTACCAGGCAGTGTGCTCACCAGAGCTCAAGTCCTTGTTCTGGAGCCGGGGTTCAGGCTCCCACATCCCAAGCAAGAGTTTTGGGGTGACCAAAATGACACACAAACTCTTTGCCCAGCTCTGGGCCTGAGCTTGGGGGTACAGAGAACCTAAGGTGCATTTTGCAAGATAAATGTCAACACCAGCACCGGGCCGTTCCCCTTGGGGACATGGCCTCCTGAAATTCCACCAGGGGCTTCCTTGTTAACCACAGTAGCGTTGCTAGGCAAAGTTAGACAGCGGCCGTGCTCCGCCCCTGAGCCGCTGCACTTCAGCAGTGCACGGCGGGAAGGATTCTTACTTGAAAGGAACCCTAGAGCTAGTTGGCAAATGGTAAGTTTTGCCTAGTGATGATAGGACTGGTGAGTCCTTGTTGGTTCCCTTCTGCTGCCTGATCAGTTGGAATATCTGGCCCCCGATGTATTTCAGCACCAAGACTACATCATGTACAGGGGGCTTTGTAGCCACTGGGGGTGTGCTTCCTCCCTGCCAGTTCCAGACGAGTTGTGACCATCACGGAACCATGGCTCTTCAGCTCAAGCTGGAGCTGTGAAAGTTCCCACTTCTCTCCCCAGTGGTGGCCAAGAAGGCAGCCATCACAGTTACACCGGAGTCCGTCGCTCAACTACAGGACTGAGGTGGATCCGGATAGACCACAGTCTCTAAGGGAGCAGTTACATCCTATCCCAAGCGTTGACTTCTGTCTCGCACAGCTTGGCTCCCTCCCTCTCCCCCATAAAGTTATTCACCATTAAGTTACTTTTCCCCTTTTATTTTTCTAGGTCTGGATTTGTTTTCCTTCCTTCAAAGTGAAAATCAGGTAAGGTTGATTGGGGAGGGTGTCTCTCTTTCGGGAGGGGTCTTTTTTCTTTTTCCACGCTGTCCTTTTGCTGCTATCTCCCTATCTTGGCGTTTGATCCTTTCAGGGCAGAGCTGGGGGTAGCATTAGTCAGAAATGCCTTCACTGATAGGCTTCTGACTTAGGGGAGCTAGGAGCGTGGTTCCTGTCAGGCCTGGTACAATAGGCTCCTTTCTCTTTGCTGGCCCTTTTCTCGCCACCGCTGCATGTCTGTGCTCCACGGTGCCCTTTGAACCTGGCATGGAGTGGCAGCCCAAGTCCGTTGGCGGGTTATATCAAATGGGAGGCGGTGGGGCACTAGCTGGTTCAGGTGAAGTCTCGGTAAACTGGTACAGTTCCCCCACATCTCGGGAGCAGTGAATTAAACCACTTGTGAGTCTCAATGTGCTTCGTTCCGGCTGCTCCCTTTCCCCCGTCTCGGCAGCGAGAGCCGTGAAATCATTGCTTGGCAGGCTGGCTGCGCCGTGCAGGGTACAGGCGGGTGGCGGGGTTGGAACAGGCGCGCAGGCTGATGGTGCCCTGTTCCTTCCCTGGCAGCACTACAGCCCTTCCGTGATCACCTCCCTGGATGAGCAGGACGCCCTGAGCCATTTCTTCCAGTACCGAGGTACATCTACCCATTTCATGAACCCCCTGGCCCCCGTCCTGGCAGGATCCCACAACAGCGTCAGCCCAGGCAGCAGCCGCATCAGCAGCATCGTCTCCACCAACGCGCTCCGCGAGAGCCATGGGCACGGCGGGGCAATGAGTAACAGCACGGCTCTCCCGGGCTGCAGGCCGGACATCATCTCCTTAGATTAACCCAGGTGCACGCGGGCAGCTCGCCTCCCCCCCAGGATGGGAGACAAAAGCAGATCTGCTGCACTGGGCGTTTCTTCGGGGCCCGGCCAGTACCGGGTCTCCCACGTCTGGATCAGGGCAGCTCCCCTGTTAAACCATCCCCTTGCAGGCTCACAGGTGGGGCTTTTCCATTCTGCACACACCCTCCGGAGCAGGCTGGTGCCGCTTGCGGGGGTGCTGGTGTTCCGCAGGGAAATAGCAACCCCTGCTTCTCAAGGCCATTTTAAACCGGTTTTTAACTTCAGCTTTTGTAGGCCTCTGCAGGTAAGCAGGAAAGATCCGACAGTGGTCACCCCCCCAACCCCTCCTTGGTGCTGCCCGGCTGGAACAGCCCCTTCTAGTGGCCAAAGCAAGACGCAGCAGCCGTGTCCCCCGGGGATGTCGTCGTCTGCACGTTGCTAACTCCCTGAGCGGGGTGAGGAGAGAAACTTGCCTGAGTCCAGCCACTCTGTGGGCTTGGATGGAAGGTGGGTGGGTGGGTGTCTTTCAGGGAGCCACCTGTTGCTTTTGGGCACTGACACAAGCCCACGGGCAGTAGGGATTGGGCTGGATCTGAGGTCCTACGGCATTCTTCTCTCCTCGGTGCTCTTCTTTGCTCCCCTCCTTCCCTGGGGAGTCTGTCCCCTTCCCTGGGTTAGAGCAGAGCCGGTGAGTCAGAAAGAGGCCAGCAAACTTCTGCATCCAGCTGCCATGCCATGCCCAGAACCTGTGCTGTTCCAGGGTTTGCATAACCAAATGAGCAGGAAAACAGATGCTGTAACAGACTCCTGATTCTAACCCCCTCCAGCAAATACGGATGTTCCCCAGCGGAGGCCTAGCCGCTGATGGGAGGGGGGACTTGCCAGTGTTCCCATTAAGCAGGGGAACAGCTGAGGCCTCCTCGACTGGTTGATCCGACACAACTCGGTCAGGCCCCAAACTCCGCTCTGAACGAATCCGTTCTTCAGATCCCAGTGCAAAGCTCTTGTGTTTGTGACCGAACACGGTGGGAGCAGGTGCGAACCACAATGAAACTGATCAATCAAGGAGAAAAAAAAGTTTAAACCATGGGAGGTTTTTTAAATTGAACTATCTGTGGCATTAGGGGTAGCGCAGGGAAGGAAACACTGTTCGTCTCCTGTGTTCCCTTTCAAATCAGCCATTTTCCTGGTGGCGGTTTTAATTTTGTGTCCTCATCATGACTTGTCCCCCCCTCCTCCTCCCTTTTTTTTTTTGTAAGAATCAAGGCAAAAAGAGGCCATTTGACTGTCCCATCGGTGGCATTTACATGTGGTTTGATGCAGTTTTTTATCCGGACACTAAAGGCAACCAGCTGGGGAGATTCTTGCTTGTGATCCCTCCTGTAAATAGGACAGTAGAGAGCAGAGGCTTAGCAGGGGTATCTGCCCGGGCTTTTGTCTCCCATCCGTCTCCTCTCAGTTGTAATTACGATGTACTTTTTTAAACTGTAGATTTTTTCCTCCTCTTAAGTATTTCCAATACAGCTCTGTACAGAGAACAGCTATAGCTCTATTTTCAGTTGCAGCTTTTGTACATACAAAACTCCAAAGACCTCCCTGTGTCTGTGTCTTGCGAGGACTAAATGAAGGTTGTGGGTCCTGCTCCCGCGCCTTCAGCGGGGACAGCACATCGCCCGTTGCACAGTTTATTTATGTATTTAAATGTGTCTCTTAGTTTGTAACCTTTACCGCATCACAGCGGCTGCTTCAAGCATCTTGCAGAACCCAGGTCTTGCTAAACTACTCCAAGCGCCTACTGCCAAGTTTTGTTTTGTTTTATTCCCGTAGCAAGACAGGGACATGAGGAGTTTGATGCACCAAGATGTGGTCAAAAATGGCATTCGGAAAGGTATAATATGTAGCAATTTTTTGCACCTTTTTTTTTTTTTTTTTTAAAGTGGCCCCTATTTTTTTAAAACAAAAAAACTTCACCTGCATCTAGACTGCTGTTGCGTTCTTTCAAAATTAAATTGAAAGAACGTGGCGGTTTTTTCGCCCGGAATTCTGCCGTGACTTTTAATCATTCTCGTATCATAGTGGCAGTGAGTATCTGAACGCAATAAGTGCAACTCCTACTGAGGAACAGCAGAAGTGCAGCTTTACCGCACGTCTTTTGGGCAGGCTTCGTTGCACTGATCATTTTTCCTCTGTTTTGGAGAGGGATGAGTCCAGCTGATGCTGTTCTGGCTCTTCATTTAAAGCAGTCAGTTAGCAAATTATGACTCAACTACTACAAAATATCAGCTCCCAATGAGCTGCCTTGGTACTTTCCACCCGCACAAGAGAACTGTCTGTCGCTTGGAGAAATCTTCTTTCCCACTTGTGTGAACAGCTTTGGAACTGGGTGCAGGAGGCCCAGGTAGGAGGTTTGCTCTTTGGAGAAATGATGGGGCTTTGTGCAAATCTCTGTGTGTCTGTTCATCTTCCCAGTGCCACACTGAAAAGGGACGTAGGACCAGAACAAATGTACTGTGTACATTTCAGTTGGAACATAATTGTGTGGGGGGTTTCAAAGCTCTGAAATTGGGAGGACAGTACAGGTCCCAGTGAAGGGAGATTTCTATACAAATATGTAAACCCACCCGTCTGTCTTTTGTCCTGTCTCCTAGCAAGATCCTCCACTACCAGTCGCAGGCTGATCAGCTCACGAGGCCATAGAGTGCTCCACCGTGCCCTGTGAGAGGCAGGTACTTTCAGTGTTACATACAGGTGGCGGTGGATGGAGTAGAGGTTACAAGCCGAGACAGACATTAAAGTATTAGGTCATGGCTGTGTTCAAGTTTTGTACATATAAGTTGTTTGTGTAGGGGGAGGGGGCAGGGAAGGGAGCGTATGGGGTTTTGATACTGTCTGAAGTCCTTTTAGTGTTTTATAAACTCACACGGAAAACGGGATCTCAACACCTTTTACAAAGCAGCTAGCCACTTTCTCTGGTTTATTTATTCTGTCTGTTTCATATCCAGCTGTTTGGTATTTTATTTGGAACACTTCTGTATATGCAAACTACCTTTTAGACAATAAAGTTCAAAACACCCCCCAGCTGCACCCGCGTCAGTTACTGGTGGAGCAGAACCACCTTCCCAAGCTGGATTCCAGCTGTTGGGACCTGAGGAGAAGGGTGAATTAGTTCCCCCTGGTTTAGAATGGGGGCTGAGGCAGAGCCACAAAGGAGTGAGTGGAAGATGGAATTGGAACGGGAGTTCCTAGCTTGCAAATTCTGAACTCAGACCGCTGGCTCACGCTCTCTTCTGTGCACCCCTCGGCGATGCAGGACGTGGGTAGCCACAGTAGGGGAGGTTCTAGTCACGTTGCTGGTGTGTCTGGCTTCCATGGTTAACGTGACAGTGACGCTTCCTCCTTGTCCTAGGCAGCCGGGGTTTAGGGTTCCTTCACGAGGGGGAGGGCTAGAGAGACCCCCCCCGATGCCCTATGGTCCCTTCCTGCTGCTGCTTGGCCAGCCCGGCGGCTTGGTGAAGGGTCTGCACCCTGCTCGGTAAAACCAGGCCTGAGAGCCGACATGCTTTGCCAGCCGCTCCCCACCTGTCTGCCCTGCAGGGAGGCCAGGGCCTGGGATTCCGCTGCTCACGTGTCTCGCGTGGCTATGGTGCCTAGCCAGAGCCGCAGGGCAAACCGGGTCCCGGTGCTGACCCGCTCCACGTCTTCCCCCGTTGCAGGAGCCGTGTTCAGGAACGTGGCAGTAGGAAGCTCCGTGGGCCGGGCCCCGCCCCCGCTCAGCTCGGTGGCTCTGGGTAGATCACAATGGAAGTTACTTTTCCAGCTGGCAGCTCAGTAATGCAGAGGAGTGAAAACGCTCCGGGGGCCAGTCACCAGACCCGCACAGAACAGCACGCCCCCGCCGGCGGGGCGGGGGGGGGCTCAGCCGCAGTCTGGCTGCGCAGGCACCAGCTCATCGCCTCCCTGGAGCATTCCCGGCTCTTGGGCTGCTGCCCGCAGAGCTGGAAGCTTGGTCCCACCCTGCTGGGAGCCAGCCAAGGTGGGGCTGAGAGGGGCCAGCCGGTGGCAGGCAGGAGGGGGGAAGCCAGCTTAGCACTGGGGAAGCTGCTCGCACAAGTGCCCCCATGCTCTGCCTCCAGCACCAGCAGGCCAGAGAGGCGGCAGCGAAGACGCACTGGGCTCCAGTCCAGTCCCCTCATGGGAGGAGAGGGCTGGCGGGGCCCCAGTGCCTGGGAACAAAGCCCAACCCGGCTTTTGTGCTGGAGATGTGGCCTCTGGCGGGATAGGAGCGGAGTCTGAATCCTCACTGTGCCTCCACTGGGTCCCTGCTCCTTCCTGCCTGGCCAGGGCCGGCTCCCCCTTCCTCGCAGGCGGCCAGGCTGGAGCGTGAGTGACGGACGGGGCAGCTCGTGTCCCCCTCCACTGCACTGGAGGCAGGGCTGTTCCGCTCGGGCTGGGGGGAGTGTTTGGGACCCGCGGAGCCCACGCTCTGCTTGTCCCCAGCCAGCAGGGCCAGGAGAGCTCCTGGGGCCATTCAAGAGCATTTCTGCCCCGGTGTGTTGACGCCATGCTCACTGGCCGAGTCCCAACCCTCGTCACGTCCCGTGGGGAAGCTGCAGTGCTCCTCCCCAGCCCTGGCTGCATTTCATGCCCTGCCTCTGCCCACACAGCTTTTGCCTCGGAGGGAAAACTCTCATTTCCCCCCTGCCTTCTTGCCAGAGGAAAACAGGCCAGGCTGGGGTGGCCAGGCCCCTCCTTACTTGATGGTTGGGGGGAGGTTTCTGGGCACGTGCCTCGTGTTCTCTGCACCATCCTCGACGGCCGCGATAGACTCCAGCACGGGGGCCTCCAGCCACGCGTAGGCGCTCACCTCGCTCTCCTCCGCCTTGATCCGCCTCTGAAAGCCAACGGCTGCCCCTGAGCGCCGGGACCAGGCTCGGAGCTGCCCGGGGCTCGGAGTCACTGCAGCTGATGGCCACAGGGCCATCGGCAGGATCAGGGGTCAGACCTCGGGGCGGACTGGGAATCTGTCAATCCCACAGGGCAGGTGCTGGTTGTCTTGGGCCGCTACCTGCTCATCTCGGCAAAGCAGCCACAATGTGCCGGGTGCTGGAGGCTGAATTCCTTGAAGGGTCCCTCGTGCCCAAGACTGAGATCCACACTTGTGGGCATGGGCGGGAAACCCGTACGACCAGCTACCCGCCAGGGCTGCTTCAGGCTGCCGGGGAGGGGGGCTTCGGGCACGTCAGGACAATTCTATAGATCAGTGTTTCTCAGCTGGGATCTGTGGGCCAGGGAACTCCAGGGGGTCTGCGGGCCCCACTGATCCGCCCCTCCCCCTCCTCAGGGCTTCTTACCTGCCCTGCTTCCAGGCGCTGTGCCGGCCTGAGCACCAGCTCTGCAGCTCCTGTTAGCTGGGATCTGTGATGCATGGGAGATGCAGCCGCGAGGGCAGCGCATGGAGCTTAGGGGCTGCAGGGCCCTGACGGCCACTCAGGGGAGCCATGGGAAGCACTGCTGGGCCCCCAAATCCCCTGCTGCATCCCAGCCCAGTGAAAGTGACAGGAGAGGGGACGGGAAGGAGCAGGGGCAGCCCTTTCCTGGTCATCTCCTGCAGGGCCGCAGTGTCCCCTTCTTGTGGGTCCCTCACTCCCCCCGGGGAAATGCTCCCTGCAGTTTCCTCAGCTCTTCCCCACCAATGCTGTGGCTCGGGGCTCTCACCTGCAGCTGCTGGTGGCCCTCGGTGGAAAGCAGCAAGAGGTAGGCGACGATGTGGTGCCGCC